GACTGTATGATACATCAGGTTTATATCAATGAAATAACAAACTAACGTGACACAAAGCCAAACATCTGGATTTTTTTGATGAATTAACAAAATGTTTGCTGACTTAAGGGTCCAAAAGTACCAAGAGTTCTTTTTTTAACAAATATAGATTTCTAATTAAATCTTTTTAATCTCACTCTCCCAAATATATATTAGGTCATTAACATAAAAGACAGATCTTTACATGAAGGTGAAGATATCATCCTATTAAAGATTAAAATAAGGGTCATCAGTTAAAAGGCCTTTCTGCTGCACTCTGCTGGTCAAAGAGGAAATGTGCAGGTTAGGAAGCAACTTTATTCACAACAGATATTGATAAAAATTGGTCATTGCTGATTTAAAGTTGAGAACTTGAGCCCCTCCTTACTAGGTGGCTTTCTCTCATGTGAAGCCAAAATGTTTCAGTCTTTAATTGAAGAAAAAGCCTTAACTATAATGAATTGTCGTGGGGAAAAAAGTATTCAACTATTCATCCTAGTTAAATAAACAGAGATCGATGGATTTCACTCAGTCGGCACATTTATTCATATCTTTGCAAAGAGAGAACAGCTCATCATACAGCCCTAATGGCACAGCATTCTGCTCTGTTCTGATCTGGGCAGCGTTCGTCTAACCTGACAACAGCCACATGCATCTGGCTGTTGTCAGGTTAGCGTTCGTCCCCCCTACTTACAACAATGGAAAGCAGTCAGAGTCATAACAAATTACACAGACTTTGGTTAACAGTAACATGTTATGAATAAACCTTGAGAAAGAACCTGATTTGTTATGGGAAGAAGCTATGTCTGGTCTACAAACACCAGCCTGGAGAGAAATGTGTGATCTTGAGAGAGGAACAGACTGAGTGAAAACTTTTATAGTGAGTAAATAGGATAAATTAATATATAATAGAAGAAAGATAAAAATTTTCCGACAACATGGAGCAACCAATATTACACTTCTTGTTTTGAGGAAGGTCTATTTGGTTTGTTATGGCAGGGTTTCACAACCTTTTTTGACTTGTGTACCTCTTTTGGCATTTTGTCGTAACATGAGTACCCCTCTCAGTCATGAGTGTCCAAAGTGGAACGTACAATAATTGTTTATAAAACAAAAACTATTTTACTTCATCTTTTAACCTGAAAATTTTATTATTGTATAATTTATTCATTCCATCTCAAATAAGAAAACAACATAAATATGTTTTCTAGAAGTTTGAAGCAGGCAATTGGAAAAAAACCCAAACAAAATAAAATCATATTAAAAACCTGTATTTCTAAAACTGGAGCTCCTCTAAGTAACTCCCCTCTATTCACGTTTAAACTCGATGAATTTGGAAAAAAATTCAGAACAATAATCATAGTCAGACTGACTTAATTAGTTGTTTTGAGCTGCTTTGATGAGCTCCGATAGCTCAGTGTGAAAAACAGCCGATCCCAGGCTGTTCTCTACATCCAGTCTATTTTTCTACCTCGTTTTGCTTAACTCATACCATTTACTTTTTGGTTGATAAAAGCATGTTTCTATGGGGTCCTTACAAATCAAAGCGATCTCCATTTCATTTTACAGCCTAAGAAATAAAATATTTTCATGGACCCCTTCCAATGCACTGACGGACCACTAAGGGTACGCGTAGGCTACCCCCAGTTGGGAAACAGTGAGTTATGCTGCAAACACTCAGTCATTGTTTGATGTGGAATCCCTTGATACATAAAAAAAATAAAATTAAATTGAAAAATAAAAAAGAATCTCCTGAAAAAGTGTCAAACAATTCCCAACTTTAGCTACTCTTTATCGCTGCCACTCACATTTCTTTCTCCTCAGTTTTTCATTCATGTCTGTCATGTATTTTTTTCCCCATCATATCCTCCATCTAATCTTTGTATCCATACTTTTGTTTTTTGTGGTCATATTAGTTAAGTTGACTGGCGACCTGTCCAGGGTGGACCCCACCTCTAGCCCATTGACAGCTGGAGATAGGCACCAGCACCCTCGCGACCCCAGCAGGGATTAAGCGTGTTAGAAGATGGATGGATATTAGTTAAGGGCCCAGCACCATATGCTAACGCTCCTTTGCTACAGGGATAGAGGACGGGATGGCATGTTCATCCGCACATTAAAGTTAGTCCCAGTGGATGAATGTTAGGACTAAAGAGAACATGTTACAGCGGCTTTGGACATATGCAGAGGGGATTATTTTACTCCAAAGATCTGAATGGGTGTGTACATACGACAAAGTATTAGTGTCATGATGTGTTTAAAGGTCTGACCCAAAGATGCAGAGAACCACTCAGAGAGCAATGCAAAGGTTTGAGGAAAAGGTAGAAGGGGGGAATCTGGAACTTAAAGAACTGGTGAACAGGAACTAGGAAGTCTGGAGAGGATATGAAAATGATTAGTTCAGGGACCGTGGGAATCTTGGATGCCATAAAGACAATGCTAGTGTGGGACTCACGTTTGGGGGGTTTCTTCTCTCACTTTGAATCCAGTAAGTGTGCGTTGATCCAGAGAAGAGGGGACATGTTGAAGAGTGGACAGGTTAATGTTCTTTGGAGCTGGAGGAGCAATGGAGCGGACTGTCACTTAGATTTCCAGGAGAACTTGAACATGTGGAGATTTATCCCCTGCTCAGTGTGAAGCTCAAACAATCCTTTCAGGGGAAGAAGGCCCAAACATCCAGTTTGCATCCCCTGCTCAATGTGAAGCTCAAAGACCCTTCCAGGAGGAGAAGGCCCAACACCCAGTTTGCAGGGTGACTTCCTGCCAAGAGGCAAAGACAAAAACAAGGTTAAGGCTCAGAGAGGCAAAGACTCAGTTAGACTCAGTGAAACAAAGACTCAGGATAGACTCAGCTAATCTAAGCATAGCTAGAATACCCAAAACTGGCAAACACTCTGGCGTCGAGGTAGTGACAGTCCACTGCTTAAGTACTCCTCCAGATAATGATCCAAAGAGTTGCAGGTGTGCAGGGAGGACCAACAATGACAGGGCGCCACCTAGTGGTGGAGGGAGAGACAAACACAAAACAAACCACACAAACTAGATTCCTGACAATTAGGGCCAGGCTCGAGATTTGTGTATTATTTTTTTTTTTTATTTCAAGAATAAAACCTTAATATTATCAGAATAAAGTCATAAAATTACGAGAATAAAGTCCTAATATTCCAGGAATAAAGTTGTATTTCATGACAACTCTTACAAGAAGCACTTTCTTCCCTAAAATGAGGAATGTGCAGCATTATATGAAGTTATACTTTGGCTCTGGTTTTACAAATAAGGAAATCTTTTAGCATCAGCATCAAATTGGACAGGATGTCAGACTGGACTGAGGTCGCTGTTTGCTGATGCTGGTCGGCCATCAGTTGCCGCCAACATTCAACCTGTTCCAGTTTGCCTACCGACTCACCGCTCCACTGAGGATGCCATCTCTGCTGCTCTCCACCTGAGCCTGGCACACCTGGAGGAGAAGAACACCCCCTTGAGGATGCTGTTCCTGGACTTCAGTTCAGCTTTCAACACCATCATCCCACAGCATCTGATGGGCAAACTGGGACAGCTGGGATTCAATACACCCCTCTGCTATTGGCTGCTAGACTTCCTCACCTACAGACCTCAGTCAGTCCGGGTCGGACAGAACACCTCTGATGTCATCAGTCTAAGCACAGGCTCCCCTCAGGGCTGCATCCTGAGCCCCCTGCTGTTCACCCTGATGACACACGACTGCGTCCCCAGGTTCACCACCAATCACATGGTGAAGTTTGCAGACGACACCACGGTGGTGGGCCTCATCAGAGACGACAACGACCAGGACTACAGAGAGGAGGTGGAGCAGCTGGTGGAGCAGAGATAACAGCCTGATCGTGAAGGTGGAGAAGATGAAGGAGATCATGGTGGACTTCAGGAAGAACCGCCCTAACCACGCTCCACTACTCATCAACAGCTCAGCTGTAGAGGTGGTCAGCAGCACCAAACTCCTGGTGGTGCACATCACAGACACCCTCACCTGGACTGGAAACACCACCTCACTGGTCAAAAGGGCACAAAAGAGCATGTACTTCCTGCAGAGGATGAGGAGAGCCCACCTGCCCCCACCCATCCTCTCCACCTTCTCCAGAAGCACCATAGAGAGCGTTCTGACCAGCTGTCTCACTGTGTGGTGTGGAGGCTGCAGCAACTCAGACTGGAAGAACGTGAGAACAGCAGAGAGGATCATGGGGGCTCCTCTTCCCTCCATTAAAGACATTTCATTCCAGCGCTGCGTATCCCGAGCCCGTGACATCATCAATGACCCCCCATCCCCCCACCATGGACTGTTCTCCCTGCTGCCCTCTGGGAAGAGGCTTCCCAGCATTCAATGCAGGACCAGCAGGTTCTGCAACAGCTTCTTCCCCACTGCCAATAGACTGCTGCATGTTTTGTAGAATGGGTCATTTTATTGTATTTTATTATGCTTATATTTTATAAAATGAAAAAACAAAAAACCCTGAAATGTTACAACTGTAAATATACAATTATATGTTTATATTACTGTTTATGTATTTTTTTATTGGTGTCAAGGCTGCACTAAAAAAAATGATATTGTCTAGAGGGCTGTTCTTTACCAAATTACTTTTTGTTTTACACTAAAATGACAAATACATCTGTCTAAAATCATATGTTGCATGGTATAATGGCTTCCTTCTGTGCATTTTTCAGCTTTATTCTCATAATGTTAAGACTTTATTCGCGTAATGCAATGATTTTATTCTCGTAATATTCAGAATTTATTCTCAGAAAAATAAAAATAAAAATCTCTAGCATGGCCCTAATACTCTGTTATTTGTATATGGGTTCTAATCATAATGGTGACTAAAACTGAACTTAAACAAATACATCAAGTTCCCCATTAGCAGTCAACCATCGCATGTATCTTTTTAATGGGAATCAATTCCTAAACTAGAGGATTTTATGCTGACTTTTGGCTCCATCTTCTGGTTCTCAAGGGAAACCTATCTATGGGAGGAGACTAAAAGCTGCAGCCTTGATTGGTGACATTGAACCCGATATGATGACCCCGGGTCATAACACTAAAGACTCAGCTTTGGCTGTTGGAGGTGCAGACACTGCTGAGGACCAGCTAAAGGCCAACACTCTTAAAGAGACTTGAAGGACGTTGACGGTTAGATCCTAAGGTTCTGCAGCTGCTGCGGTGAGTTTTTTGACACACACCAGACATGGAAAACATGTTTGTAGCTCTACTAATTTTGCTTCATGAAATTGCAAGCTCCTGCTGTGGAACACCATGAAGAAGTCCTGCTTTTAGATGGTGATTCTAGGAATTCTTCACTTAGGAGGCGAAGGCTGGCTAAGTAATTTCACAGGGCTGGCCACATTAACAATATGCAAAACATCATGGATGCTTTTATATACAGAACATTCAGCAAATATGATGAAATACTAAAGATATTGTAAAATTGCATGTTTTGATTAAAAACCATCTAAAGCATTATCTCATGATTCCTTAGCTTATTGATAATGCACTGGATCTCTAAAGAAATCAAGTATCTGCAGTCATATGTGCCAACAAAGAGGTGAGGGCAGTGGCCTTTTACCCAAAGCTATGCTGTTGTGAAATAAACGATCAGTCCACCAGGTTGTCATTGTGAAAGCTGTACCTTAGCCCTAATAAAAAGCATGACAGAACATTTTGGCAGGAGTAACAATCCTTTTTATTGTTTGAGTTGTAAATATTTATAAGACAATCTACTGCTAAGTTGAGAGACATCTCTCACATGAGGCACTGTTAACTGGAATGAGAGCAAAAAAACAAGAATAAAATAAATATTGATAGGCTCCATAAAAACTACACTCTGGTGGAGTAGTGGACGTCTTTACAACTCCTAATTTTTCCTTCCTTTACAAGAGATTCTGGACTTGACTGATTTCATTCTTTATTGTCTACAAATCTGTTTTTTTAAACTTTAAAAGCGTCCAGAAAACGAGTGCTTTTGGGATCTATTATTTTACAGTTTTCTTAGAAAAGCACCATTGGAGCCCATTGACCGTGCAATAAATTCTAAACAGTTTATTTCTATAGCTCCAATTCATGTCATGTCAGGTCACTTTACAGACACAATTCAACCAGATCAGTCAGATTGGTTAGAAGTTTTCTACTGACTGCATCAACTCATGACCTTTCAGCAATCCCTCACACTAAGCATGCTTGTAGCGACAGTTGAGAGGAAAACTCCCATTAAACAGGAAGAAATCTCCAGCAGAACCATAAATCAAAGTCAAATTGATGCAAAGTTTTCTATATAAGGAAATACAGTTGATTGCATCGACTCATTGACTCCAAGGCAATCCCTAGCACCAAGCATGTTTGTAGGGACAGTGCAGGGGGAAAACTCCCTTTTAACAGGAAGGCTCAGTGTGAGCGGCCATCTGCTGAGGCCGACTGGGGTTCAAGGAGACAGAAGCAGATATAGAAAAGAAGCAAAGATACAAAAGGCAACTGTCAACCAGCTCCACAGGCGGCCCCATCCAGGAAACACACAGCCAGGCAGACGAGCTCCGAGCCAGCTCCCATGTCAGAGGATGAAGAGAGCACATCCAGTTAGTCACAGTCAGAGAAACAGGACTACACTGAAAAACAGGCCAAGCTCCAACATCTAGAAACAAATGTGTTGATGGCAGCAGCACAGCTGATATTTCTCTCCAGGATGGAGTCACAGCCAAACAGGAACAAAAGCAGAGAGAGCAGAACGTTAGAGATTGAACTAACAGATCTGCAGAGTGGGAGAATAGAGATAGAATGAAGCAGAATGATGAAAAGGAAGTCCCCATGTCCTCCAGCAGTCTGAGCCTATAGCAGCATAATTATAGAGATAGCTCAGGATAACCTGAGTGACTATATACTATAAGCTTTATCAAAAAGCCTAGCCTTAAAAGTAGACAGGGTGTCTGCCTCACGGACTAAAACTGGTAGTTGGTTTTAAGGAGCAGAAAGTTAAGAGTCTGTAATCTATGTAACGGGTTAGCTTCATCTGGATTTATAGACAGGTATACAGGTCCTTCTCAAACTATTAGTATGTTGTGATAAAGTTCATTATTTTCCATATTATAATGGTAAAACTTGAACATTCATGCATTTTAGATAATTGCACACTTACTGAAATATTCAGTTTTACTGTCACAATAATGATTGTTGTGTACAGCTCATGAAAACCCCAAATTCCTATTTCACAAAATTAACATATGAAAAGGGTTTCTAAACTAGCTATGCAACTAATCATCTGAATCAACAAATTAACTCTAAACACCTACAAAAGATTCCTGAGGCCTTTAAAACTCCCAGCCTGGTTCATCACTCAAAACCCCAATCAACCCTAATCCAATCAGACTGCTGACCTGACTGCTGTCCAGAAGGCCATCATTGACACCCTCAAGCAAGACGGTATGACACAGAAAGATGGGAAGGAAAAAGTGGCAGAAAACGCTGCACAATGAGAAGAGGTGACCGGACCCTGAGGAAGATTGCGGAGAAGGGCCGATTCCAGACCTTGGGGGACCTGTGGAAGCAGTGGACTGAGTCTGGAGTAGAAACATCCAGAGCCACCGTGCAGAGGTGTGTGCAGGAAATGGGCTACAGGTGCTACATTCCCCAGGTCAGGCCACTTTAGAACCAGAAACAGCGGCAGAGGCACCTGACCTGGGCTACAGAGAAGCAGCACTGGACTGTTGCTCAGTGGACCAAAGTACTTTTTGTGGATGAAGTCCCCACAGTCAGTGATGGTCTGGAGCGCCATGTCAGCTGCTGGTGTTGGTCCACTGTGTTTCATCAGGGGCAGGTCAATGCAGCCATCAGGAGATTTTGGAGCATTTCATGCTTCCATCTGCTGAAAAGCTTTATGAAGATGAAGATTTCATTTTTCAGCACGACCTGGCAGCTGCTCACAAAGCGAAAACCACTGGTTCACTGACCATGGTATCACTGGGCTCAATTGGCCTGAAACCCATAGAGAATCTGTGGAATATTGTGAAGAGAACGTTGAGAGACGCAAGACCAAACACTGTGGATGAGCTAAAGGCTAAACGCTATGGAAGCATCCTGTGCCTCCATAACACCTCAGCAGTGCCACAGGCTGATTGCCTCCATGCCACGCCGCATGGAAGCAGTCATTTCTGCAAAAGGATTCCAGACCAATTATTGAGTGCATAACTGTACATAAATATTTAAAGGTTGACTTTTGTCCTAAGAACACCATTATTTTATTGTTTGGATGGAACATGCCAATTTTGTGAGATAGAAATTTTGGGTTTCCATGAGCTGTATGTCAAGTTATCCATATTAAGACAATAAGAGACCTGAAATATTTCAGTGTGCAATGAATGTAATATATATATATATATATATATATATATATATATATATATATATATATGTTCAAGTTTTATCATTATATTATGGAAAATAATGAACTTTATCACATTATGCTAATATTTTGAGAAGGACCATCAGCGTAACAGTGGAAATTAATCCTGAGCTGTCTAATAACTCTACCTATTGGAAGATTATGTATAATAATGAGAATTGGTCCTAGAACTGATCCCTGTGGTACTCCACAGGTATTCCTACAAAATATTCAAGTCTTTCTAAAATTATATCAGCTGTCTTCTCTATATCCAATCTTCAGTATCACATGCTTTATCTAAAAAACACAGGACAATATTTACTACTAATATAATGTACATAACTTTATCATTAAAACAGTCTAAATACTTGTTAAACTCAGCCAGTGTTAGGATTCAGGCTGAGGACCCAGATAGAACCAGAACACGATGGGTAATAACTTTAAAAGATTTATTGAAGAAACTCTGCAGGTAATGCGGGATCAAGGGAACCCGAGCCTCAGGAGGGGAGAGAACAGGTTAGTGGTTAAGATGGATGGTTTAAAGTTCTGAATGCTAAGCCACTAACCTTTAATATCCAGGCGGGCTGTCTTAGTTCTTGAAACTTTGGTTCTTTGAGAGTTTTTCCTCACTGAGGCTTGGCAGTTAATTGTGGTCAAAGGAGGTCCAGGGTCAGAGCCAGAAGATCAGATTTTCAGAGAATCCAAAACAGAATCCAGGGATGAAGTAAGGGTACAGAAACAGGTCAGGGATCCGTTAGCACAAAAAACAGATCCAACAGGGGCTAGGCAGGCTCAAAAATGAGGAGGAAGAAAGAGGCCAGGATCAGGTAAACAGACAGAGAAAAACGCTGGACACTTACTAACCAAGGCTTTCATGCAATCCGGCACTGTCAACTAGTCAGAGGCCTGCTTAAGAAGGGTGGCAAACAGGTGAGAGAGGAATCAGTGGTAATTAGGCTGAGCAGCCAAATGCAGTCAGAGCAGAAGGGAGAGGGGAATGAAATCACAAACACTAGTTGACAGGCCAGAAACATTACACACAGAAATTAATTACTCTTTGCAAACCGAAAATGGATAAAAAGCTACTGCTATCTGTAGAGCATAAATGTAAACATTAGCATTTCTAATCTGTTTACTTGCTTTGACACTTCATCTGATAACTTCCAGGCAGCAGCAGCTAACTTCCAGGCAAGCCTCCCTCCTTGCCTGTCAAAGCAGCCACATAGTGCAGTAGGAATCAGAGCACTTATTAATGTGCTCTGGCCTAATGATGAGTCCGCGTCTGCACTGCTCTGAGTCTCTGGTCTCTCTCTGACGGTCGGCCTAGTTCCAGGTCATCCTCTGACCCATTAGGTCAGACCTTTCCCTGGGGCTCTGACTGGCTATGGTGACTTATTTTAGACTTGGCTCTCATCTCTCTTTTCTCTGAATGACAGAAAAAATGATTCATAACTCAGTGGTCTTGACTAAAATATATTTTTTAAAGTGGACATTCAATCAAAGTATATTTAATATAATTTTCAACTGTACTACTTTGTGCAAAATTACATTTCAAATCAATGTATTGTTTATTCTGTAAATGTATGCTATGTTGATGTCCTACACACAGATTAACTAATGCATCATTCCATAAAAGTTTCAAAAACAATCCAATGGACTTGGTTTCCAAGGTTGGAAGACGTTTTGCTTCCCCTCCAGGAAACCAAGTCCAGTGGATTGTTTTTGAAACTTTTATGGAATGACTATGACCTGGATGACTGAGAATCTTCATCAGCATATTGCATCATTCAAACAAATGAGAACCTATTTTCCTTTAAGGGTTTCCGGAGCTGATTGTCTAATGAATATCACCTGGGTCTGCACAGGGTTCTGTTTGTTTATTTGATACAGAGAGAGGCTAACCCCGAAATCCCACATAGGCTACTCCGTCAGCGCTCCGCCCCGCTGCGCTCCAGACCGCCTGCGCAAAGCAAAGCCTACAGCCTCCGCTGTGGCTCCCGTCCGCTCCACTCTATGATCTACTGATTAAATTCAAAAGCAGCGTGGAAATGAACCGGGGTTTCCGAGGATCATTAAAAATAATTAAAATTCATTATTTTTTTTAATTAAGGCCTTAATTGGCACTAAAATTATTAAAATATGTTTATCGTGGCATTTATAATTCTTTAATAAAAAATGTTTATAAAAACAAATTACGAACTGATGCCAATACCCCGAATCTTAAACCCTAGTTTTACTAATTTAGAGGATTAAATCAAATTGTATCATTGAAAAAAGAAGGCTGAGAACAGACTTAACCTCAAAGTAGAAAATATCACACTCTGAGGTCTCTAGATGTGACTGTTTACTGTTACTGGTTTGAAGCACAACCACTATTACCCATTTAAAGCTAAAGATGTGGAAAAACAAAATCTACATCAGGTTAGCAAATATACAGGCCAGTTTTATTTTAGCAGAAGATCTAAAAAAGGCAAGAAGAAGCTAAAGAGCAGCAAATACCTTAAGTGACATGTTGGGGAGGAAAAAAACGGTATCTGTGTGCCTGAAGTCAAACTGGTCAAACTGGTAGTTCTGGTGGTAGTTCAGTTGTCTGAGGCTCCAAAGAACACAAAGTAATGACGTTCAATAGGGGTGGCAACAGGGATGGCCAATCATTGTTTGGGGTTGGCACCAGCACCCCCCCCCCCGTGAAAAAGACTCGTGACCTCCTCCGGCTTCTCTCCATCCAGCCCTCTCTCTCCCCCCCTTAGTCCATCACAGCTCAGCTCAGTGACTAAGAATGTCCAAGAGCATCTGCAAGGAAACATGCTTCAATTGAAAACTGAGCCTTTAATTAATTTATCTGTAAAATTATAGATTTATAGACTGACTAAAAAAAAAATGGCTGTCATGTTGCACCAATGTTTAAATGGGAAGATCGATGGAACCGAGGAAATGGAATAGAGCAAACATTATTCTCTGACCTTTATTGATCTTTATGCTGATAATCCTAAACAGTGATAAGGACCAGAGCCCTCATGTATGCATTATGTAGATTCTTTGTAAAAGGGTGTTTATGCTCCTAATTTTGTCAGGGTTCTGCTCTCTGTTTCCTGTCTGTCTGTTATGTCTTAAGTTACTACCTATTGCCCCCTGGTGCCTGTTACTTCCAATTGGCTTCCACCTGGTTAGTTCTATTCACACCTTTCCCATATAGACACACGTTTCCCATATAGACACCACGTCTGCAGTTCCTGTTTTCTTGTTGTTTTGTTGCTTCTTCATCTCTGCTCCCCACGTGTATTTTCTCTGAGGTCACTGGATTTTCTTTGGTTTTCAGTATTTTTGCATTTTCTGGATTTTTGCCTCTGTTGCCTGTCAGTCCTTAATTGACTGCTGAAGAAGTAAAGAAAGTACTACAGACTGATCCAGAACTCAAAACTTTCTTTCTTCAGACAGGTTACATAGCTTCAGCTGAGTGGAACATACAGGCTGAGTGCTCTCTACTCCTAAAAAAATCTCCACCACCCAAACCTTCACTAATCTGTTTACCGGCTTCCCCAGCTTCTGATCCCCCACTGACATTCTGCTTCCAAGGGCAGGCACCGCCGCCAGCAGAAAAATACTACGGCTTATCCAGTGGCTTAGTCTGACGCTGCCACTCACTCTCCAGTGGGTCAGTCTGAGGATGCAGCTTCCTCCCTGTCAAGTTGGTCTGATGCTGCCGCTCACTCTTCGTCTAGAGACCCCTGAGCACGCTCTGGGATGTCCAGAGACCCCTGGGCACACTATGTTCGTCCAGTGACCCCTGAGAACGCTCTCTGCCATCCAGAGACCCCTGAACCCAATTATGGTTCATGTTGTGAAACGGAGAACTACGAGGGCACCATGGCTGAGCTCCAAGGCCCCTAAGTGGGGACTCCTCAACTCCAAGGCCCCTCAGCGGGTGCTCCTCACCTCTTCATGGGTCCCAAGCTGTGCCGCCTCTATGTGGGTCCCCAAGGCTCCTGTGCCATAGTCGGCGGTACCCAATGTTCCTGCTGCAGAGATGCCATCCTCACATTTGTCCTCCTGTATATCTTTCTTATACAGAGCCTGGGTGTTGAGAGTCCAGTTTGTTATTCAGATGAACACCTGGGTACTTAGAGATTTCAATGTCTGATCCCTGGATGTTCACCTGTGTCAGGGGGGGAATCTGCTTCTACCAAAGTCCAACACCAGCTCCTTGGTTTTCCCTGCATTAATCAGAAGGTGGTTCTGCTGGCACTAGAACACGAATTTCTGGGTCCACTGTCTGTACTCAAAATGTCCATCTTCATTTATTACACCACAGTTACAGCATTTTATCTTAGCTTCTTTTCCACATTTTCCGTACTCATGCTTTCCTGCACACCTTCCACACCTCTGTTTTCCTTTACAAACTGCTGCTATGTGTCCAAATTTTTGGCAATTGAAACATCTCAGAGGTGGAGTATTGTTAATGTTAACATCATAGCTGATGTTACCAATGAACATTTTGCTGGGTAATTGCTCTTCTTCGAATTTAATTAACACAGATAAACTGTCAGATCTTTCTCTGTTTCTTTTTGTTTTTAACCATTTTACGTCTTTTACTTTTGCACAACTTATGTTTTCTAGAATCTCTGTTTCAGACACTCTTAGAGGAACTTCTCCAATGACTCCCCTGCTGATCTTTTTGTTCTCCACTAAGCTGCACTGAACTCTTATCCCCTCAATTTTGTTGAACCGCATGGCTTTACCTTGCTGAGCGCTGTCTCTGCAGTTGATTAACAAGTCTCCACTGTACAGGATTCTGGCACCTCTGACTTCTCCTACAAGTTTATTTATGGTTTTTGTTAAGTGAACCGGATTCCAATATGTAAAAGAGTCTGCCTGATTAAGTATGAATATAAATTTGTACTGATTTTGTTTTGCTGTGGAATGTATGGATTGATCATCACTTGAATGTTCTGAACGGGACTCCCCTTCAACTGATCTCTGCCTTTTCCGCTTTTTCTCATTTTTTGATGATTACCCTCTTCCAATCTTCTTCATTGTCACTATTTCCCTCTTCCATCCCACAAGAATCGCTTTCTGTTTCCTCACTACTCACAGCCCAGGACATTTCTCCACAAGCGACTTCAAAAGACGCGCCATGCACCAAACAACCATATGGCTCTCAATCTCACTAGCGACCCTCCGGAATGTCCGTTCTAGGCTCCCCTGTCAATAATAGAAGAACACTTCCTGGTCTGCCCTCGAGGTAATGGTCCAATGAGCCGCAGGTGTGCAGGGAGGACCAAAAAGGACAGGGCACCACCTGGTGGTGGAGAGAGGGAAAAACACAAAAACAACCCCAAAACAGACCACACAAACTGAATTCCTAACACATTCATTGTTGCAGTGGATTTTGTTATTTTTGTCTAGTAATGAAATTGTTGTTAAGATGAATATTCCAGAGGGAGAACTTCACAATCAGTGGGTGACTCAATATTTTCTTGCTCCACTGCATAATATACATTAAACATGACGTCAGGATTAGGTTGTGGTTTGGTGACCCAAAAGCAGGGGCAGGGAGGCAGAGGTGAATATCGTGAGGATTTAATAATGAGTAAACTGAAAACAGATGCAGGTAATCCAAAAATCCAAAAAGAAAACAAAGTCCAAACAAACATGAAACCAGGAGTCCAAAAATCTAAACATGAAAACTAGTGAAAACGTACCAGAAAACATTGAGACATCAGGGGGATCAAAATCACAAGGAGGAAGGCTCAGAGAGACGGAGTTGGAGGAAATTTGACGAGGACCCAGCAAAGAAGAACAGAGCAGAGAGTGTATTTATATGAGACTAAACAAAGAGAGAGCTAATAGGCAGACTGGGAGCAGGTGTGCACAGAGCAGGAGAGAAAAAGACCTAGGGAAAAAGGAGAACACAAGAGGGTAGCAAAGGGCAACTAATAAAAAACGTAGAAAACTGAAAATAACTAGAAAACACAACGAAATAAGAATTAAACCACAAAAACTAGAAAACAATGAGTAAAGCAAAACTGAACACAGAAAACATGGCAGAACTAGAACTCTAACACATGATAGATATACCACAGAGTGGTGTTATTGTATTTTTTAACCATGCTCATGGCTGACCTTCCCTTCTTTCTGCTTTTGTTTCACCGCTGTGATGAACAGGGGGGTGATGGCTCCATCTCTCTGAAACTAGATGCAGCTCAGCACATAGATCAAGAGCAAGGGTTTAATCAGCTCAGCTTTGTTTGTACACAAGCTTAATAAATTCCACTCCAGATAATTTATATTTGTTTGACTGGTTGCATAATTAGAATCCTAAAGTGAACACTTTATCCGATTTAAAAAAATGGCAATAAAGCAACAGACAGAAAGGGAAGTAAATTAGTTTTACAGACTTTATTTTTGCTCTTGTCATCTTCAGGTTAATGATGGATGAGAAGCAGTGCTGTGTCACACTATCAGTCCAGCCATACAGAGGCCTTGCAGATGAGAAGTTCGTTGTCCTGGTCCAGAACGCCCTCCCTAGTTCCCAGCTGACCATCCGCGCCCTCCATCAGTGTGAAGATGGACACAGCTGGCATTCCTTTGCCCACTATACCTCTGACGCCACCGGGGCTGTAGACGGTGTGTGGATCTGACTCATGATGAACAGAAACAGCCATATAAGAAGAGATGCTGCCAGTCTTTCACCTTCTGCCTTCCACTTTTCAGTTTCAGAGGACTGCAGTGTGGGGGGAACTTATACAGGGGTGGAAGCTATGGGTTTGTTATGGAGCCTTGAACCAGTTCCAGGCAGCAAAGCAGGGCTCAGGTTGGTCTGCCATTCTACTGCTGCCTGTCCATCAGTATATCACTGCCAACAGCTGACTCTCCCTGTACCCACAGGATGAGGAAGAAGAATGTCCTGGCCCCCATGGTGGTCACCATCTCTGTTTACAAGGGTCACCTGAGTGAGGGCTTTGGGGATCAGAAGCCTCTGGCCGGTGTGGAAGTGGAGCGGTGGTACATGGCACCTGGTGTCCGACGGATTCCAGTCACAGAGGATGGACTCACTGGCACCCTCTTCCTACCTTCAGGTAGGACCAGAAACCAGTCCAGGTGGACTAGAACCAGTATTCATACTTCTAGAACTTTCCTTCATTTTGTCTGTGACAGACCAAAAGCAAGCAGCCAGTAATAGAGAAGTGGAAGAAAAAGGGAAAATGTTGTTTTTTGTGTGTGTATTTATCCACGTATTACAATAACCTGGATAAATTTCCTTCCAGTCAATTGTTTCCAACACCTCAGCAGATACAGATCTGGAAACAATTCCCTGTTTTCTGCAGTGGAGCCTTCACTCGACTAGACTCACCAAGTATGCAACAAGATCGAGGTTAGATAAAAGTATAGTAATCGGTTAGTATGGTCCAGTCTAGGGCAGGTGTGCTGACACTTTTTGTCTGTCCCGGCTTTAATGTTCTTGAATCAGGTAATTAGAAAATTAACAGGACTATTGAGAACCAACACATTGAGGAAGTATTTCAGTCATTAGATTCAGGCGTGCTGGGCCAAGGACACATTTCTAAGTTGCAGAACACTGGCACCTGAGGGCTGAATTTGGCCATCCATGGTCTAGTCAAAGTCCAGGACTAAATCCTTCTTAGAATATATGAAACAGACATTATGTTCTAATCTATTCTTCATCCAATAGAACAGGGTTGAAGGAGTTATAGTAAGGGTGGAAAAGTCTGTATTTGTTAATTGTAGTTTTAACTTGTTTGTGAGCAGAATCCATCCTATTATGAAGGACCAACTCTTCCATATTTAAAAATAAATACAGAAATAAATAAATGCTCAATAAATGTATAAGCATACAATTAATTGCCAACAAAAAAGTGAGACATAAATGTATATAACTCTTAATTAGCTTCTTTATTTATTTGCCTTTGTAATATTTACCTTATTTATTTTTCTGTCCTTTATAATCTTCAACTTTATTTTTTAATTACTTATATTTTTAAGTATTTATTTATGTGCATGTTATAATATTTTTGTCTGTTTTATTCTTCCTTTGTATTTTTTTACCTTAGTTATTTCTTCGCCGCTGTTTATTTCTCTCTGCCCTTTTTACATTTCTCTCTGCCATTTTTACATTTCTTTATGCATTTCTGTCTCATTATGCAAATGAGGAGGGGGTGTGTCCTAGAGTCAACTTCTGCTCATTGGTTGGCTTGGCGGTCCATCTTCTTAACTCACAGAGCTCAGAGTACTAAGTTAAATGTTCTCTAAATGTTCATTATGGTGTAAGTGATCGCAAACTTGTTTGGCAACTACTTTCTCAAGAATTTTAGATAAGAAAGGAAGATTGGATATAGGTCTATAATTGACCAAGTCGTCTGGGTCAAGAGACGGTTTCTTAAGCAGAGGTTTAATTAAAGCAACCTTAAAAGCTTTAGGTACATATCCCTGTAACAGAGATAGATTAATCACATCTAAAATGAAGGAAGAGATCAAAGGGAATACCTCCCTAAATAACTTGGTTGGAACTGGATCTAACATACAAGTTGAAGGCTTAGATGAAGACAATAATTTAGCTAACTCAGAAAGTTCAACTGGATCAAAGCAGTCTAAACCCGGTTCAGATTCCATGACTACCTCAGATACAATCACGGATAGAGGAGTGCTTTTGATCTTTTTTTTAATAAGATCAATCTTATTTATAAAGAATCCCATAAAATCATTACCTATAAGAGCAGGTGGAATGGACGGTTCAACTAAGCTATGGCTCTGGGCAGTGATGGGACTAACGGCGTTGAAAGCCTTTTTTTAGTAACGAGTAATCTAACTAATTACTTTGACTGTAACTATAACGCAGTTACCATTGCAGACACCCCGTTACTGCATGTTACTCAGGTCGAACAATAAACTTTTTTTCATGATAGGACTCGTGCTCGCCTTGTTATGAGAGAGGGGAGGATGAGATTGGCTGATGTATAGTGAGATTCCGTCTGTCAGTTGGGTAGGTGGGTGTTTCTGCTGGCGGGTGTTAACGTACAGCACACACAGAGAGATGGAGAGTGAGGATGACTCCAGCAGCAAAACAGCCTTTTCCAGATGGAAATACTGGTGTTACGTCGAGCTGCGTTTCCCCATCAGATACGGTTTCCCCTGCATCTCCGCACAGCACAGGTGGCACGATTCACCGCGCAAGCGACAGGAAACGCACATGCTCGCTAAAGGCACGCAACAGTCGCTCTGTGCTCGCGCCACAGGAGAACTATGGAGAGCGTGAACGATCAAATGATAGCCTACAGTATATGGAGAAAGGGAGAAATCTGGATGGATGGATGGATGGATGGATGGATGGATGGATGGATGGATGGATGGATACTCTGCCTTTTCAACCTACTGTATTTTTTTATTTTAAACATTAATTGATGTCCTTTGTGGCAGGGATGGAGATCCATATTTTATGTCACACACAGAGTATACATCTAGATAGATAGATATATAGATAGATAGATAGATAGATAGATAGATAGATAGATAGATAGATAGATAGATGGATAGATAGATGTTGCAGTATCTATAACAACCCAAACACACAGGATTTCAGAATTAGACATCCCCAGTTATTAATTTCATATACTCACCAGATCTGAACGCCCTGTTAAAAAACGTCAGATAGTGTTCCCCCCTGATGTCATTGACGTTGAGTTGCAATAAATGCTAAACTCTCTGCAGGTTCTTGTCTTTGTCGTCCGCTCTATTCAGCTGGCGTTGGAAACACACGGCGAGAAGGTGGGGGCTGGGTGGGGAGGGTTACGGGGCGAGAAACGCAAAAGTAACGCAATAGTTACTTTTACTAGTAACTAGTTACTTTTATTGTGGAGTAACTCAGTTACTAACTCAGTTACTTTTTGGGAGAAGTAACTAGTAACTATAACTAATTACTTTTTCAAAGTAACGTGCCCAACACTGGCTCTGGGTGAGTTTGGCAACTGTATTAAAAAGAAATCTAGGATTATTCTTATTCTCCTCTATCAATGAGGAGAAGTATGCTGCTCTTGCTTTACAAAGGGTCCTCTTATACAGCAGGAAACTATTTTTCCAGACTAGGTAGGATTCCCATAGGCCTGTGGAGCGATATTTTCTCTCCAGTTTCCTAGCATTTTGCTTCAAAGTGCGCAGCTCTGCATTAAACCAAGGAGCAAGCTTTCTATTTTTATTGGTTTTCATTTTCAAATGAGCTGCGTTGTCTAAGGCAGTACGCAGAGAACTAGCAACCCCATCAACAAAATCATCAACCTGTGAAGGGGAATAAGCTATGCTTTTGCACTCTGCAGCACTGCTCAGCGACACAGAGGAGAAAGTGAAACAGATACTTTAAATGTATAGCTGCACTATCTGATAATGATCTGCTAAAATTGAACCTTCTTTTGGGGGAGGAGAACTCTGTTAGAGTAATCCTGAAGGTTATTAGAAAGTGGTCAGAGAGGACAGGGTTGTGAGGAAATACTGTTATTTCTCCATATTCTTTGCCGTATGTCAGCACAAGATCCAAAGTATGAAGATGAGAATGTGTGTGACTATTCACATTTTGAACAAAGCCAATAGTGTCTAAGATTAGAGATGTCCCGATCCAGGTTTTTGTGCTTCCGATCCGATACCGATATTGTTTTTGGACTTCCGATCCGATACCGATACTGGCCGATACCAGCCTATCCGAGCATGTATTTAAGTTTAAGTTAAAGTATTTAGCCTTAGTTGTAAGACTCATGTTGAAAAGGGTTTTAGTACTCTTGATAACATCTAGCCAGCTAAATTAGGTGAGATTGAATAAAACACAATGCTTGGTAACAACAAACTTACCTGTTTATTAAGAGATAAACACAAACTGGACAAAATTACGAATAGCAATCTGAAATTGCACAGTGAGCAGTAAAACCGTAAACAGTTAAAGCTGCAAGTATTACTGTAAGTTTTAATAAAAATGCAAAACAGGGGAGCACTGGCGCAAAATAGTGGAATGGATCGTTTCAATCGGCGAAACTGGAAAATACGGACCGGATTTTTTTTTTAAAACTGGATCGGCAGTCTGGATCGGCATTTTACATGCTTTGCCGATACGCATTTTTTTGCCAATATCGGCGTCCCGATCCGATACGTGGATCGGATCGGGACAAGCCTATCTAAGATAGCATTAAAGGCTGCTCTTAATGTTAATTCAATGTCAGCATGGATGTTAAAATCCCCCACTATGATGACCCTGTCAGTATTTAATACCAAATCAGAAAGGAACTCTGAAAACTCAGCTAAAAATTCAGAGTAAGGACTTGGTGGACGATACAAAGTTACAAAAAGAAGAGGTTTTCTTGCTTTGAAATTTGGATCAGGGAAATTAAGGGTTAAATGTTCAAAATAGTTGTAGGTATTAACTGTTTTGGGAGTAATCAGTAAGTCAGACTGAAAGATTGTTGCTACTCCAATTTCCCAATTGGAGTTATTTTAATTTTAATTAGATTATCATGATTTACTCCTTTGGGATCCAACTTGATTACTGGCTGTCCAACAAAATTTCACAAAAATCAGCACATCAACTAATGACCTAATGAAAAACAAGCTCTCTGGAAACGGTCACTCAGGCATCCTTGAGGTTTAGGAACTCCAGAGAACTTTGTGAAATCCACTAATCAAAGATGGAGGAAACCCCCAGATCCCATTAGATTAGATGATTGAAGATATATTGTTCCAGCTTGTTAGAATCTGTAATGTGATTAACCAGAACAAAGCCTTTGACAAAAAGATGGAAACTAAAGTGTTTCTTAGTGTGAAAGTGTTTCTTAGACAACAGTTTCTTTACAGGTGACATACATTTTTCTGACAGAGAAAACTGTGGAAATGAAAGAGCCGTTTTTATTGCTATGGTTTGTTTTAAGGACCTGGACCTTTTCCTGGTCTCCTGGACCTGTGGGGAGGTGGGATACAGCTGGTGGAGTACCGGGCAGCTTTACTGGCCTCACATGGGATTGCCACCATGGCTCTGGATTACCTCACATGTAAATACACCATGGAAACAGGGGAGACTGTGAAGCAGGACTACCTTGAGGTAAATCTAATTATGACATGAATGCCTTACAGAAACCTTTTGGTATACAGTATCGTTTATAGAAAACCGTAACATATTTAATGCATCAATTTTATTTAAATGTGATGTGGGATTAGAGGTTCCTTCAATCCTGGTCTTCAGGACCTTGGGCCTCATTTATGAAATATTCGGTGGGATCTACACTAAAAGTGTTTGTATTCCGATGAGAAAGGCGCATATCAAATTATCTTAGGGTTATCAAACATGCACAAGTAAAACAAGAAGTATATTTCCTTCATAAATCATTCACATGTGCCCAAGGCTAAAAAAAACCCAAAGGGATCACAATAGGTCAGTGGGGTTGTGTGTGGGGGGGAAATCATATTTTATATTTTATCCTTAGCAGGATACAGTTTAAGACTGAAAAAACCCCAGCACCTAGTAAACACAGATAACGTGATATCTTGCAGGATGAACGGTTGAGAAGGATGAGAGGTGTGTTAATCAAATCTGAGCATAAGTGTGTGCAAAGTAAGTCCATGAAGCCCTGGGTCAATGTCCTGCAACTTTCCTGGAACCACAGCCAACCTGCAAAGCTGTGAAATGATTGTATCCAGTTTACGGTTCTATTATCTTAACATCTCAATCTGAGCGTTGATAGCTCTGCAGATCCACTCATACATGCTGGGTAGCCTGACAACAGCCAAAACAGCCCCTGACATCTTCAGAATTTCATGATATGCCAGGTATAAGACAGGACACAGAAGCTAAGCAGGAAAGACAGGGGAGGGAGGGAGGGAAAAAGCATCCTCCTCCTACCAGAGACAAGTCAGGAAAAAAAATGCGTACCGATAAAAACTTGTAGTCTAACTGAGGCAGAAATAGATTTGATAGCGACTGATGTGGAAAGTCAGGTAGATGTCTGTTAGCTACGGTAGTGGTGTGAGACATAGAAGTAAGTATTGTTGAAGACTAGTAGTCTATCTTCTGTCTAGTTTATCTTTAGGATAAAAATGAAGACACTCAAAGGATTCTCTTTGAATCTTCTGCCGACTCTGGGGAAAGAAGATTTTTATTCCTTCAATTCCAACGTCGTTCAATAAACACGGTACAGAACAGAGCACTTCCTGACCTCTTTCCTAAAGAAAGCACACCTGTCTTCCATGTATTTATACCAAATTCTGGCAGCATGAAGATTCTGGGTTTGATTCCCGGCCTGGGGTCTTTCTGCATGTAGTTTGCATGTTCTCCCTGAACATGCGTGGGTACTCTCTGGGTACTCCGGCTTCCTTTCACAGTCCAAAAACATGACTGGCTTCTCTAAATTCTCCCTAGGTGTGAGTGGTTGTTTGTCCTGTTTGTCTCTGTGTTGCCCTGCGATGAACTGGAGACCTGTCCAGGGTGACCCCACCTCTAACCCACAGACAGATGGAGATAGGCAGCAGCAACACTAGTGACCCCCCAGCAGGGATAAGCATGACAGAAAATGGATGAAAGGATCTCTGTGAAGATCCTCAGTCATCCAGGTCATAGTCAAGCTTGAAAAAAGTTCAGGTAGACTGAACTCTTTCAAGCTATATGGAGTGTATTATGTTTTTGTTTTTTTTTGTCCTAGGCGCCTCCATCTGTGTGTATGTCTGATACCCTCATGTGTATGTGGAAATCTGTGTGTTTTGTCCGGTTTGTGTGCTGAATACTTGTGATTTAGACAACTTAAGAAGTAGAAAATATTCTGCCAAACTTTTTGATGCATTTTATCAAACGGGAACCTCAAAAGCTTCCCAGTACACACATAAATTAATGGAAAAAACACCCTTTTGGCAAAAACAATCGTCTTCATATCTGGTTCCCATTAAAACTTCCATTGTGTAGGTAAGCCCCACCATTGTGTAGGTAAGCCCCATTGTGTAGGTAAGCCCCACCATTGTGTAGGTAAGCCCCACCTGAATGTGGAATTCAGGCCCCTGTGTCTTACCAACTAAGCAAGAGGTCAAGGTGTTTACACAGACTCAAATATTTCACTTCCACACTATTGTCAATGAAAATGGAGTCTGATGCATGGACTGATCACATTAATGAAAGGTAGCATTGAGCTTAGTGCTGGTTGCAATATTAGCTTAATGGATTATTTCACTGGATTATTTTGTTCCTAAAAGCTGTTTTAGTCAAAGAGTTTATTAGTGATTATGTTTAACACCTGTTAGGCCCTAACAGCACCAGCACTTACCACAGCGGATTCCCTGTTAGGGAATCCGCTGTGGTAAGTGCTGGTTGCCAATAACAGCTATAATTAGTTAATAGACTAAAGAAGCTGAAAATCCAGTGCCCACCCAGCTACAGTGTCTGAATTTGCCCGCTTGAACTTTTCGACATTTTACTACATTTCAGGCTTCAAACATAAAGATATAAAATGTAAATTTTTGGTGAAGAATCAACAACAAGTTGGACACAATCATGAAGTGGAACGAATTTTATTGGATATTCGAAACTTTAAAATAAAAAACTGAAATAATGGATTTACAAAATTATTCAGGACCCCTGATTTGATACTTTGTAGCGCCACCTATAGCTGCGTGACCCGTTCCATTCTAGATGCTGGTTTCTGTTTTGGATCATTGTCTTGTTGAAAGATAAATCTTCATCCTAGTCTTCTGCAGACTCCAGCAGGTTCTCCTCCAAGATGATCCGTATTTTGCTCCATCCATCTTCCATCAATTCTAACCATCTTTTCTGCTGAAGAAAAGCAGGTGCAAACCATGATGCTGCCACCACCATGTTTGACAGTGGGGATGGTGTGATGAGCTCTCTTGCTTTTACAGCAAACATAATGTTTTGCATTGATGCAAAAAAGTTGGATTTTGGTTTCATCTGACCAGAGCTCCTTCTTCCATGTTTGCTGTGTCTCCATTTTTATGGATATCTTTCAGAAATAGCTTCCTTCCATAAAGCCCAGATGTGTTCAACATCCGACTGATTGTTGTCCCATGGACAGAGTCTCCCTCCTCAGCTGTAGATCTGTGCAGTTCATCCAGAGTGATCACGGGCCTCTTGGCTGCATCTCTGATCAGTATGATGTTCAGAGGAACTGCTGGGTTTTCGTAGACTCTCAGTGGTCTGATTCTCCTTCCATTTCGATATCGCTGCTCAGAGCACCTCTGGATGTTTAAAGCTGGGAAATCTATTTGAATTCAAATCCAGCTTTAAACTTCTCATCAACAGTATCTGGGACCTGCCTGGTGTGTTCCTTGTTCTTTATGATGCTCTCTGTGGTTTAAACAGACCGCTGAGACGATTTATGAGACCATTTATATATATATAGATATAAATATCCATCTATATAAATGACCATGGAAACACCCTGTGCAATAACCCTGTACACTCACCAGCCACTTTATTAGGTACACCTGTCCAACTGCTCGTTAACACTTAATTTCTAAGCAGCCAATCACATGGCGGCAACTCAGTGCATTTAGGCATGTAGACATGGTCAAGACAATCTCCTGCAGTTCAAACCGAGCATCAGTATGGGGAAGAAAGGTGATTTGAGTGACTTTGAACGTGGCATGATTGTTGGTGCCAGAAGGGCTGGTCTGAGTATTTCAGAAACTGCTGATCTACTGGGATTTTCACGCACAACCATCTTTAGGGTTTACAGAGAATGGTCCGAAAAAGAAAAAACATCCAGTGAGCGGCAGTTCTGTGGGCGGAAATGCCTTGTTGATGCCAGAGGTCAGAGGAGAATGGCCAGACTGGTTCGAGCTGATAGAAGGGCAACAGTGACTCAAATAACCACCTGTTACAACCAAGGTGGGCAGAAGAGCATCTCTCAGTACGTCGAACTTTGAGGCAGATGGGCTACAGCAGCAGAAGACCACACCGGGTGCCACTCCTTCCAGCTAAGAACAGGAAACTGAGGCTACAATTTGCACAAGCTCATCGAAATTGGACAATAGAAGATTGGAAAAACGTTGCCCGGTCTGATGAGTCTCGATTTCTGCTGTGACATTCGCATGGTAGGGTCAGAATTTGGCGTCTACAACATGAAAGCATGGATCCATCCTGCCTTGTATCAACAGTTATGGCGGGTGGTGGTGGTGTCATGGTGTGGGGAATATTTTCTTGGCACTCTTTGTGCCCCTTGGCACCAATTGAGCATCATTGCAACGCCACAGCCTACCTGAGTATTGTTGCTGACCATGTCCATCCCTTTATGACCAAAATGTACCCAACTTCTGATGGCTACTTTCAGCAGGATAATGCGCCATGTCATAAAGCTGGAATCATCTCAGACTGGTTTCTTGAACATGACAATGAGTTCACTGTACTCAAATGGCCTCCACAGTCACCAGATCTCAATCCAATAGAGCATCTTTGGGATGTGGTGGAACGGGAGATTCGCATCATGGATGTGCAGCCGACAAATCTGCGGCAACTGTGTGATGCCATCATGTCAATATGGACCAAACTCCCTGAGGAATGCTTCCAGCACCTTGTTGAATCTATGCCACCAAGAATTGAGGCAGTTCTGAAGGCAAAAGGGGGTCCAACCCGTTACTAGCATGGGGTACCTAATAAAGTGAGTGTAAAAAACAAAAACAAGCTTTCATATGTGGACGCACTGTATATACTGTATATATCCCATGCAGCTTTTTCTTCCTTTGGCACCTTCACTTTTTGACATTTTGAGCTGATGGAACGAGTAAATTTCTCCACTGCGAGATCAATAATGTCAATCAATCAATCATTAAATCAATCAATCAATCCATCACAGTGTAGCGGACCTAATTTCCCACAGAGGGAATCTATTTATCATCATCAGTCATTTAAATCAACATTGGATCATTCAGAAATCCTGACTGAACTTCTGGAAAGTTTGCTGCACTGACAGTAAATGGGCTGATTCATTTTACACACTGCCTGTTCTTATTTGTTAAAAAAGTTTTCAATTTCCAATAATTTTGTTCCACTTCATGACTGTGTCCCACAGGGCACCACAAAACACCGAAAAGTTCATCTGGGAA